CGCGCACACCCGCACACACGCACACACGCACACACAGACACACACACACACACACACACACACGTGCGCACACACACACACACACACACTACCCACACACTACCCACACACTACCCACACACTACCCACACACTACCCACACACACACAGACTACACACACACACAAACACACACACACACACACACACACACACACACACACACACACACACACACACACACACACACGCGCAAGTCTGCGTCGACAAAAACTCATAGACGAGATTGCGAATGCTGTTGTGTGACAAGGTGTCGCCACTTTTCGGAGACGTAAGTTCGAACAATTTCTGGTTGCCCTCTCGATTTTTTCGTGCCAAACTTGAAAGGACCTAGGTTACAGCAAAACAGGTGGCGACCCGAGGCCCCACCAGACTGCACCACGTCCCGGCTTGGAAAGTACATCGCAATCTGCGTGACACACTGTGCTTCGTTTCGTTGGGAGTGCAAGTCGTCACGGGCGTGCGACGCTCTGAACTGTGCCAGCGGCATGTTCTAGCGCCAACAGTAGTAAAACGATATGACGATATGTGTTACGGCTCCAGGCGGCGGTGGGTACCAAAGTCCAGCGGGAACAGGTGACCTTTTTTTCCGTTACATGTCGACATTACCGAGTTGTTTTTGCGATTGATACGTACTACGCAGGATAGCTATGCTAGCAGTACAGACCGGTCTTGGAACAGTTGAGCAGCTCAGTCGGTGTACATTTTGCACCACAGTCAAGACGTGGGTTTCGCAACAGAAGCTACCATTCGAGGCCGCGACCCCACTGTCGCACATAAATTAGGGCAGTGGCAAACTGCACAAACAGAAACAAGTTTCCCGGATGTACATTGATGTGGTGGAAGTGACGTATCTTGCTCGTGCCCTCGCCCCAACTCTTCAACAAGCCGGGGAAAGGCTGAAAGATCATTTGCCACCGGGTTGTTCCGAAGAGGCCAATGAGTCCTCGACCTTGCGGCACGTCCCACCACGGTCCCCTCCGTCGCGCGGTCAGCCCCTGCAGCCTCGACGCAACTCCGTTACCAAATCGAAGTCCCACCTCAGACCACCGCTGTGGAATCGCGAGGTTGGAGCTCGCAGTTGAGCAGCCCGCGCGCGGCCAGTCGCAAGACCTCCTCGACGAGCTCAGCACCAATCGTACGAAGCGGTGTAGACGTGTTTGGGACCGCCCTGTTCAGTGACGTCCTCGATGACCTGTGTCCGTGAACTGCATGCAGCGATACGCAGCGACTCCCCGTGGCAGCGCCTCTCGGACCATCTCAGACCAGCGTGTGCAGACGCAAAAGGTGCGAGGAACAAAAACATAAAATTGTGCAAATATTGAGCGGCTCGATGACGATGATGCATGCCAAGCCTTTTCTGAAGTTGCATCGCAATTGGATGCAATTGGCTTGCGATCGTGCCAGCCCTCGGACTTGGATGCGTTGTCGCGCTGCGCAAACCCAATCTTGGCCCGCACTTGCCCAGCAGTTTGCAAACCCGCTTGCGGATGCATCGACTACACCAACACGCACTGAGCAGCGCGTTGGCCCAGAATCCGCCGCCTGCGCCCGTGTTCCGTGAGTTGCGGGACGTTCCTGCGGCGTCATCGCTCTTGCCGTTTGCACGCCTTTGGATTGGCACCTCGACTTACGTGTGGCAGCAGCCTCCAGCGGGGTGACCGCGCACGACGCTTTCACCAAGGAGGGTTACCCTTTAAGCCCTGACCTTGGCGAGCGCGTCCTTGATTCGCAAGCGGCTGGAAAGCGTTGGTTGCGAATGCGCGATGCACAATGTTGCCAGCCTTTTTGGCCAGTCGCTCTGGGCCTCTGGGCCAAGCTGCTCTCGGACAGGAAACCCGAAACTGGGCGACGCTCCACGAACTGGCAATGTTTTCGCCGGCGGAGCGCGCGGACGGAACTGGAAATGTTTTCGCCGGCGGGGCGCGCGGACTAAAAAACCCGAAACTGGGCTACGCCCCACGGACTATGGCCGGCAGAACACGCGGACAGGAAACCCAAAACGGGTTTACGCGCCACGAACTGGCAATGTTTTCGGCGGCGGAGCGCGCGGAGAGAAAGCCGAAACTGGGTTACGCTGCACGAGCTGGCAAGGTTTTCGCCGCCGGAGCACGCGGACAGGAAACCCGAAAAATAGGCTGTGCTCCGCGAGCTGGCAATGTTTTCGCCGGCGGAGCGCGCGGACAGGAATGCCGAAACTGGGCAACGTTTTCGCCGGCGGAGCGCGTGGACAGTAAACCCCGAAACTGGGTTACGCTCCACAGTGGCAATGTTTTGGCCGGCGGAGGGCGCGGACTGGGCTACGCTCCACGAATTGGCAATGTTTTCGCCGGCGGAGTGCGGACAGGAAAGCCGAAACGGGGCCAATGCTCCACGAACTGGCAATGCTTTCGCCGGCGGAGCGCGCGGACGGGGACCCCGAAACTGGGCTCCGCTTCACGAACTGGCAATGTTTTCGCCGGCGGAGTGCGCGAACAGGAAACCCAAAACTGGGGCTACGCTCCACGAACTGGCAACG